TTAAATAAAATTAAACATTTTTTCACGGTTCTTTTTAAACATGCAAAATTTTTCAAGGTTTTCTAAACTAGTAGTTTATTACAAATCAATGATAAATAAATATAATTTTTTTTTTAAAATAATCATTTTGTTGTACGATGTATTTTTTTAAAATTAATTATTTAAAAAAAAATAATTTCGCTGTATAATACATTTTTTTTAAATTAATTGTTTTATAATTCATATTGCTTTTAAAATTAAATACATTTCATTTTTTTCTGTAAATGTTACTATTGTAAAATATAATTATTTTTATTTTTAATTAAACTCTTTTATGTTCTATCATTTTAATTGTAAATTATTGATGTGGATTCTTTTTTCAGGTAAAGTGCGATTAAACTGAAGATTAAAACTAGAAGCGGGCCAATCAAAGAATTATTCGAAATTCTTGTCAAGGTTTGTTTTTCTTCTTTTTTCAAAAAAGTAAAAAAATTCAGTTTGAAAATTTTTAATATCCGGTTTGGAAAAAAATTTAATTTCTTGTTTAATTTTATTTGATTTATAATTATTTATTTTATTTCAAATTAATTATTTTATTTCCTTTTTAAAAATGCAAGTAATTACAGATGAGCACTTCACGAGACTTTGTTCATCATATAGTATTAAGCCGAAGAATAAAACAATTGAGACATTCGTTCTTCAGTGCAAGGAGATAAACTTAGTGAACTCGGTGAGTAAGGCTTCATTTTTCAAATAAACTTAAAATCCCTCATATTTTTTTAATAATTTTAATTTATTTTTAATAAAGTAAAATTATATCCATCCATTTTTTGTAGGTAAGATAAAATAGAATAAAAATCTAAATTTTTTGTCTAACTCTTTGTTATTTAGTGCGAAGCATTATTAAAACATAAAAAAACAGCTGTAAATCTTGCCACACAAGTAAATTTAATTCATACAATTGCATGCGTATGAATTGAATATAATGTGAGTAAGTTTGCTGAAAACTCTTGTTAATGTTATTGGGTATGACATTCAACTCATAGAATTGCATGACTATGAGTTGAATTAATTACTCGGTAATAAGTAGGACAAGATAAAAATCTAAAAGCTGTAAATCTTGCCACACAAGAAAATTTAATTCATACAATTGCATGCGTATGAATTGAATAAAATGTGAGTGAGTTTGCTAAAAACTCTTGTTAATGTTATTGGTTGTATGAAATTTAACTCATAGAATTGCATGAGTATGAGTTGAATTAATTACTCGTTAATAAGTAGGACAGGATAAAAATCTAAAAGCTGTAAATCTTGCCACACAAGAAAATTCAATTAATACAATTGCATGCGTATGAATTGAATATAATGTGAGTAAGTTTGCTGATAACTCTTGTTAATGTTATTGGGTATGACATTCAACTCATAGGATTGCATGAGTATGAGTTGAATTAATTACTCGGTAATAAGTAGGACAAGATAAAAATCTAAAAGCTGTAAATCTTGCCACACAAGAAAATTTAATTCATACAATTGCATGTGTATGAATTGAATAAAATGTGATTGAATTTGATAATAATTTGGAAAATGGAATTGAACTCATATAACATGGGTATAAGATATATAATTTTTCCTATAAGCCGTGAACAATAAAAAACAATTAATTGTAAATCTTGTCACGTCAATACATATACAATTCGTACAATATCATATGCATGTATTAAATAAGACGTGAACGAGTTATTAATGAATATCAGAGGATTCTTTCTTTTATATAATAAACAAAATGTTTAAAAGTGGTATATTTATACTACAGGAGACTTTATTCTGAGAAAATGTTAATAAATGATAATGAACTTTGTCACATACTGCGAGAGTACATTCTTGAACTACCTTTCTTATTTGGCGAATTTGCTATATTATACTTTTAAAAAAAAAACTTTGATCAAAATTGTCAATAAATAGTGAACCGCCATGAATTGTAAAATTAATCTTAATTACACTCTGATTATCTAAATTAAAAAAAATTAATTGGATAGAAAAAAGTCAGTCACTTATTCAAGTAGTAATCATTAGTCATTTAATTGCGAATAAATAATTAATAGTGACTATTTATTGATTTAACCTGAAAATCTTTAATAAATTTTTGCCAAGCAAAATTAAAATTTTTTTATAATAATAATATCATTAAGCGAGTTTTAAAAAACTTTCCAAACATTTTCAAATAAGTTCTTCTATATAATTAATACTTTAAACAAAAGTTTTTTATTTTTCTTTTACTAGGATAACCTAAAAATTAAAATATTTTTAGGGTAACTTCTAATTAAATTTTGTTCAACTAAAATAAAGTTGTTTATTTGTTGACTTCTGTAGTAGTTTTTTATAAATTAAAAAAATAATACATTTTTTTGTTAAACTACATTTATTTGTAAATACAAAAATTTGCAGATTATTTTGATATTCCACGGAGTCTTCTAAATTGACCGTAGAGAATACATTTGGTTTTTTTTTAAAAACCATCAATACATTGACTTAGCTAATGTTTTGACAGGAGAGGTTATGGCGGTAATAAATGTACGCTCGTAACTGTGAATTCAAAGAATTAGAAACACCGCTTCGAACCGTCTTTCTGCTTTTATGCTGATTCTACACTAACCTAGTCGCGCGGACTTGACGGGACGACTGCCAGGCGTTAGACAAAGACGGAGAATATCTCTATCTTTGTCTATTTCACGCAAATTATCCCGTCAAGTCAGAGCGACTAGGTGATTGTAGAATCAGCATTACTTGAAAGCATCCGCTACATTGAATCAGTAGCGCCATCTTTGAGCGCACGATAAAGTTAGTAATCGAAGTTTAGTGTTCTACTATTATCTGTCAATTTAGTCAGAACAAAAGTAGTTTTTATTCATTTTTTATTAATTTCTTTTATAAAAACCTCAACCCATCTATTTTTTTAATCTTTCCTATCATTTCCTTTACTTTTCCTTTTATTTTGTATAATTTTTTTCATTATGAAACCTGGTCGCTTCTCGCCAAACGAGATGGACCTGCCCTTAAATTTCTTTGTTTGCATTAAGCTACCAATGTTGGATGACCTAATAAAGTTGAAAGTTTTTTTTTTCATTGAAATGTCTTTAATAATTGTTGAAAGCTTGATTTTCAAGTTGCTATAGGCTCTTTTTAGTTTTTTTTTTCTTGAAAAAGTGAAATATGATATTGTTGGAATAAATTCTGTACGACCTAGATTTAAAAAAAAAATACAATTGGGATACAATTACACCGTCTCTCATGATATCTATTGATCGAAAAGGGTTTTGTAGTGTTGTGGTATTATATACGCTCGAACGCGATTAACGTTCAGTCCTGTCACTATTATGTGCTTGGTGTTTCACTGGTTATATCACGATTATCTCGCTCATCTACATTGCTGAACAATCGTCTGACAGAGAAAGGCAGGATGAGTTTCTATTGTTGGTTGAAGCGTTGACAGCGCGTAGGTCCCTGTTAGGGATTCCTGAATAAATCCTGCCATGGGTTTACGCTAGAACCTCGATAAGTGGACCTACCGAGAACGCATTTATCACGCGGCTAACATGAATCCAATCAATTACGGCCAGACAAATCCTTTGATTCCCAACACTCGTTTACATCATCGAACGTGAATTGTGTGCAACATAAAATATGGTTATTTTTTTTTTTAACAAAGTTTTAGCAAACCTCATTTAAAGGTCATTATTATTTATCTAAAATTATAGGTAATAATATAAAATTTAATGTAATTTATTTTTTTTGCATTTAGATCCTGTTTCTAATTTTGTATAATATATAAGAAATTTCATTTTAGCAAACACCGTTAGGAAATAAAGTACATAGCAATAATTACACTAGACTCTGTGTACATATTCCACTACCATACATAGAGATAGCGTTTCATTGTGTAATTCCAACCAAAAGTTAAATTAAACGACATTACTGCAAATTACCTGATAAAATATGAAAATATTATGTAGGAGTGTATTTCGTTTTTTAAAAAAAATGAGATTCAAGGAATTAAAAATTATATAAAAAGTTGTTAGTGGATTTTTTAAATTATTTTAAAAATTGCATTTTTTCTATTTGATTTTTATACATTGTGACTTTTCTTTTTGTTATAAAATGAAAGTTGTTTTAAAGAAGTTAACTCTCATATTGTTAGAGGTAGAGAACATTTTCTGCTATATTGTGTAACCGCCGAGGATCATAAATTAAATATGATTTTATGACAGGTGCGAGGGGAGTTTGATCCCATAGGAGCGACGATGTAATTTTTTTTTTCTCTTAGAGAACTGTAGCTACTAGTCAATAATTTTTTTTTTCACTGTTTTTCAACCTCTTTTGCGCTACATTTTCAAGGAGGGTTGACATAAATGTTATTCAGTCTCTTGAGTCATTTAAAACATTTCATTTTAATTTTTTTTCTATATTGACCGAATTTAAAATGGGAAAGCATAATAAACTTGAAAATAAATAAAAATTGCAACATTCTGAAAACAAAACTAGTCAAGATTAATTAGTCCAGAAAGGACTAGTTATCTCCAAGAATTTTTTAAAATTTTCTAATGAGTTCATTGAATCTCCTAAACAGTTTGTGAGTAATCAGAACCCCGGGGGTAATACAACAAAATTAAAAAAAAAATTTCTAATGAAAATTTCCTTATTAAATCAATAAATTTTCTTGATAAGTCATGGCCCCGTATGAAGTTAGGTATTATCGCGATTTACACGAGGTGGCATCGAGGCTAAAACAGTCCATAGGACGCAATACGGCGTGTTACAATTTTGGGGTAAAGTTTCGCGGCTGCGAGTCAGAATGGCTGCTAAGAGAGAGGGAGCGAGGGTGAGAGAGAGAAACCATTGGGTGCACATGCGCGGCCCAAGGGTGTATCTTCTGTTTCCCCTTTTGCGTTGTTCCCACTCTACATTTTGTTATCCCTGCTCTTTTCACCTCGCCATCCCTTGTCCAAATGCCGTTTCAGTTACCGGGCCGATCCGCAGGCAGCGGATCTTTCTGTGTGTTTTGTTCCGGGGGAATTTTATTATATTTTTCATTCCACGAGAAAAAAAAAAAGAGAGGCGTGATAATTTTAATTCATCTTAATATGACAAATAATTAAGTTATATCAATGATCTTCCTGCATCATTCACATTATTGTGGATGTTGCTTTTTAAGCCTCCAATTTACAAGGCGAGTATGACCACATGTGTTTTATTACAGATTTTGCGGTCTCGCGACTGGCGGTTAATTCGACTATGTTTACGGTGATTAATTTTCTAATAAAAAATTTGTATCACATCTGAGATTAGTGTTTGAAATGTGTTAAGTGATTGATTTTTGTTTAGAGATGATTCAATTGGAAATTATCAGAATTAGACTACATATCTTTTTTAGGGTCTAGAATTAAAATAAGAATTTTTTTTTTGGTAACATAGAAGATGATCGTGTTTATAACTTCTTTGGAGTTATTTTTTCCGTGAAATTTGGAGAATTGTGAATGCAAGGAATCGATAATTTTGCCAAAAACATCCCGCGTGGAAAATTAAAATCCGTATATACAATAAAAAGTTGATGAATTCGATATTGAGAATTGGTGAAACAATTTTGATAACGGATTTTTTATGGTTATTAGAATGCAATTGGAAAATATAGTGTGAACTAAAGTGTATATAATCAAAAGTGAGATCGATGAACCCGGAACTTGATTTTGGTTCATATCGACTAAATGCAATCAAGCAGTGACCTCGTGTGTTTGTATCGTGGTATTGCCAATGCTTTCCTCAGTCATCATAGTGTATCGACTAAACGTCTTGCTTTGATTGGGTTACATAATTAATTAATTACATTTACGCTGGTACCGTGTATAGACCTTGCATAAATCAACCACCAATCAAGCCAGGGGGAGGATTGTGGGAAGCTATTTCGATATAGTTAATACAGGCCTTCATTATCAATGCACTTTCAAGGTGAGTTCAATTTACCTCGACTACAATTTGAATTAGGCCTCAGGTAAATTTTACCATCCACGTGTGACCGATTTACACGCTTTTATATGCGTTATTCATCCAAATTGGAAGATAGAAAAAAGTAAATAATTATTTTTTTTTACAATTCAAGAATGTGTAGATTCAGTTTATCGATAGACATGGTAATAACAGTTATCATCAATCAAGAATATTATTGTTATCGTACTCTGAAAATGTCTATATTGGAAAACTAAAACATTAGTGAAGATAACATATCCCTTCAATCCTGTTTCACACACTATGGAATAGGCAATAAAAATAAGAATCGGTATAGTTTTACTAGCTGAATAGTTAGGTGCTAACGTTTTGTTCGCGCTTATCTCGTTTTCTGACCCCTCGTTCTAGTGATCACGTGTGATGATAACAATGGTCTTTTGTGGATGCATCCGAACATTTCTATAGTATTTTTGTACAATTCTTTTTCTCATGTCCGATCAATATCTCCCGATTAGAAATGTGGCATTGATCTCTGATTCGGAAAATTACGGAAATTCATTCGATGCAGATAGATAGATAGAGGTGGTTGGATAGGCCATAAAACCACCGATTATTGTCACATCCGAGAAACGCTTATTAGTCACGCCAGTAAACGAGGGCTTGACATTGATTTCTACATTCTCTTCAATCAAATTGAATACAAAGAGAAATATTTAACCAAATTCTGTATTTATAATTGTATTTCATTTATTATTTAATTAAAATAGAATTCAGTTTTGTAAGCTATTTATTTAAAAAGAATTGATTTTTGATTGTTTGGATTGAACTATAATCATATTTGTGAAAATATATTTTGAGTAGAAAATAACAAGTTTACAAAATATATTGTGGAGTTTAACAAGGTCAAACAGTTGAATTTCTCTATAAAAAAAAAATTGCTTTTTGTCATGCATACATGTTACCTGGACCACAGTAGCACGTTTCGTTTTCAAGATCCTTCTAGAGGGATGAAAGGCACGAGCAAAAGGTCGTTTGCAAAACTGAGACCTCGAGACGTGGTTGCTTAGACTCCATCTCTCTTCCTCTCGTCTTTCTTAGGGGGGGATTTAATCGACCCGCTCTCTATATTGCCATCCTTTTCTCTTGTTAGCTTTCCCTCTTTTCCTCTTACTCGACTCGTCGAATCTTAATTTCTCTTCTTCTATTTACACGGTTCTTTCGCACTTTACCGTTTTCTTAATCTCGAATCGCAAGCGATTTCTCTTATAATAAGAGATGAGGTCCTTCAATCTGCTCATTCTTTGTAAAAAAAAAACAATAACAAATATAATTAGCGCTTTTCTTCCCTCCAAATAGGGAATAAAAAAAATTTTGAGTTATTTAAAAAACGATTTGTAAATAATTTAATAAATATTTTTTCTATTCAAATCAAGTGAAAATAAAAGACAGATTTATTATTATTATTATTGAAAAACAAATAAAATATATTAAATGAAACATTATTTTATTGCTTGAAATTTCTCTTCAAATTGTAATTTAAAGATAATCATTGAATTGGTAATTTAATTTTTCATTTATTGGCATATTTATTCTACACATTTAATGGATACACGATATACATTGGTTTATTTTAAAAACGATGGTAATTCAATCAACCTTTAATAATTCTCTTTTATGAATTTTCCATTATCTCTTTTTTGTTTTCCAAAAAAGCGTAAATGCTTTTATTATTATTAATTCCCATTTTAAAGTCCTAAATGTTGTACAAAAAAAGTTTTATATAAAAAAAATTAATAAAATATTGGAAATAACATTCGTAAAAATTAAAACTTTAATTGATGACTTAAAAAAAACCCCAAACATTTTTAGACAAATATATATTTCATGCTTAGTCTAATAATCTTCGGGTTCTTCTATTCCTCTGTCTAATTAATTAATGATAACTGAGTCGTGGACCATTATTATAATGTAGGTTTTATTAAATTTTATTTCTCATTCAAATTACCAAACGTTCTGAAGAACATTTCTTTTCATAAACGTTGGTTCTCCATTTTTTCCTCTCTCTCTCTCTTTTTTTTCCAGTAATATAGGCCAATTTAGTTCTTACTTCCATATCTTGCTTTCATAGTATCTGTGTCAAGTTTTTTTCCTGAATACTTAAAATGTAACAAGTAAAAAAAAATATTTCCACTTATTATGCAAAGTCAAATGGACAAAAATTCTAATATGCAAAAACATTAGAAGACAAAAGTACAGCTATTGTTACCCAGTTGTGTTTTTAAATTTCTAATGTTTATAAAGGACTAACTGGGGCTCTCATTTACTGCATGCTCAGGGGACCTAATCAAATTGCTTTGTCTAACCCTCTCTCTCTTTCTCTCTGTTGCACTCTGGGTTTTCGTTCCTCTTGACAAAGCGGTGGCGATTGCAGTGCGGTCAAACTACCAGTTTATAAGCACACTATCCTAGCCATTTGAGATAATGACAATCAGGAAACTGTGAAGCCTTACTGCTCGAACAACGCAATCTCTTCTAAATACAGTTCGAGGGTGTTTTGATTCGAAACACAACCGGATACGACTCACGCCAAGGGGCTGTTTAAATAGCAAGACTTCAAAGTGCATTCTCTCTCTTCCTCTCTCTCTCTCTCTACAAATTGTTATCGGTGAGAATCGAGGCTGTCAGAGATTTGCACACTTTTGTGTGCAAATCCTCTCAATCCAATGAAATTTGTTCAGATGTTTTTAGAAAAGACAGTTGCTTTGTTTTGAATTAAAGGTCTCATAATATTTTCTGAAACTACACTTTATATTCGCGCTATGATGAAGTACCCACTTTGCTAGAAAATGAATTTACTTGGTTAGAGAGAGAGAGACCTCGACTTTTATAAATAAGAAAGAGTTCCGTTGAGAAAATTCATGAAAACAGAGAGGTTAAGCGGTCTAATGGATGTACCATATAATTTACTAAAATTAACTATACCAGTGTTTCAAAAGTTAAATTTTTAAAAGATATCTCTGTCTAGAATTTATATTTACTAACTAGTAATTTTTAAAATTAATCTCGAGGAAAAGATTTAAATTATTGAAATTATTAGCAAAATAAGAGTAGACTCGATATAAAATAAAACTTTTTTTTCCTAAGGCAATACTTACCTGTCTGCTTCTGGTTTATTTTTACTAACTGAGGACACTGAAATTTAAATCTCAGCTCCATAAGTTCGCTTGTATCAATTGCGTAAGGTGTCAAATAGACTCGATATAAAATAAAACTTTTTTTTCCCAAGGCAATACTTACCTGTTTGCTTCTGCTTTATTTTTACCAACTAAGAACACTGAAATCTAAATATCAGCTCCATAAGTTCGCATGTATCAATTGCGAAAGGTGGCAAATAGACTCGATATAAAATAAAACTTTTTTTTCCCTAACGCAATACTTACCTGCTTGCTTCTGGTTTATTTTTACTAACTGAGAACACTGAAATCTAAATATCAGCTCCATAAGTTCGCATGTATCAATTGCGATAGGTGGCAAATAGACTCGATATAAAATAAAACTTTTTTTTCCCAACGTAATACTTACCTGCTTGCTTCTGGTTTATTTTTACTAACTGAGGACACTGAAGTCTAAATATCAGCTCCATAAGTTCGCTTGTATCAATTGCGAAAGGTGGCAAATAGACTCGATATAAAATAAAACTTTTTTTTCCCTAACGCAATACTTACCTGCTTGCTTCTGGTTTATTTTTACTAACTGAGAACACTGAAATCTAAATATCAGCTCCATAAGTTCGCATGTATCAATTGCGATAGGTGGCAAATAGACTCGATATAAAATAAAACTTTTTTTTTCCCAACGTAATACTTACCTGCTTGCTTCTGGTTTATTTTTACTAACTGAGAACACTGAAATCTAAATATCAGCTCCATAAGTTCGCCTTGTATCAATTGCGAAAGGTGGCAAATAGACTCGATATAAAATAAAACTTTTTTTTCCTAACACAATACTTACCTGTCTGCTTCTGGTTTATTTTTACTAACTGAGGACACTGAAATCTAAATATCAGCTCCATAAGTTCGCATGTATCAATTGCGAAAGGTGTCAAATAGACTCGATATAAAATAAAACTTTTTTTTCCCCAACGCAATACTTACCTGTCTGCTTCTGGTGATCACGTAATCAATGCAGTCGAGTGGCTCCATCTACAGGAATCTGAAAATAAAGTTTTAATTAAGCAACCATAAACAAAACAAATCAAAATAATTAGGTATAATTGAAATTAATAAGAAGCAATTATCGAGGGTAAAAGGCTTTTTGTTTCTAAAAGGAAATTGATTGACGGCTAATTAAGTCTTATCGTAAATCAAGAAAAGGAAATACAGGGCATAAATTCTAGGGAAAACATAATACAAAGGCATGAAAGTGACATCTCCATTGCTCTCCCCCTTCCCCTTTTTATCTTTCACTCATTCCAAGATCATTGCGTAAAATCTGCGCCTCTTCAAAAATAGCTCGAGTGTGAAGGCATTGAAAAATAATGAAGAGGCTCGTCCATGTCTGACAATTTATTCCCACCCATACTTTTGTGGTTAGAGTCTGGGTAATTACTTTTCAAGTAGAAGACGTGAAAATGAACGGCGGATCTCAATTCGTAGATAATATTCCCGACTTTCTTTTGTTTTTCTCCCTCGTAGCACTGATCGAGCTTCTGCGGTTTTTCATTGATTCTCTTATTCGTCCTAGTGCTTATCACTAAGCCATTTGCATTTTTTTTCATTTCCTTCTCACACACACACACCCACCTCATCACATTGAAATTTCTCAATTATATTTTCTTTCTTGAATTCGTCATATTTTTCCATATTTTATCAATATTTACATTAACAATTCAATTTTTTCATAATAATTTTTATTAATTTAATTTTGAAGACTGGTATTTTCATCGGACGTTGAAATTCAGGGTCGAATTGAGTGAATTATTTATCTTTAACAGGGTTATCAGG